GCATGGTTCTTATACATATAAATATTTGTATATATTCAGTGAAATATCACCTCCGTTACCCCAACAAGGAGAACAAAGAGATGGACTATGCCTGTTTGAAACCAGAATGCCTTTCACTGCTGACCTCCACTTGTAAAAGAAAGAAACAATAGCCAGCGAAGTCGCTTAAGTTCCTTCTGCTTGTGCTAAACAGCAAAATAAAAAGGACACTGGTAATTTGTCTCAGTCAGTACCAAGTGTAACATTAGCTATGTTAGTTGTATATTAAATATAATGTGTATATCTGATAAAGTCAGCGTCACAAACAACCTGAGCAAAGATGCAATAATCCTTTCTGCTGACATATCACCACCCAGATTTTGGAATGACCCTGTAGCAAAGTATCTCTGTGCCAGACACATTTGTAAAGTAGGACTCAGGCTTCCATTCCTCTCCATGTTGTGTTGCAAATCTGCAAGTAGGAATTTTTTTCTATCTTTTCTATCTCTAATCTACAAAGTTATCATATTAATCAAATGGGTGTCCCAAAGTGGTTGCCGATGCAAACTTTACGTTTTCCCATCAAATTGACCAGCTATTTTACCGGCAGAACTTACATCTACTTTAGGGTATGTATGAATTTTAAGTTAGAACTTAAAGCTACATTGAAACTATGTCACTTAGTGCAAACGGTTAAATTCTAGTAGCTCACAAACTTGTTTACGTTCAAACTAAGCTACGATCAAACGTTCAGCTGGTGCAACGGGCTGCTGGATGGTTGGTGAATGGCCACCTTGTTCCAACAAGCAAGGGGGTGACAGAGTGATGATTTGTGCTGGAATATTGGGAAGTGAGATGATAAGTCCCTTTAGGGTCCCTGAGGATGTTAAAATAACCTCTGCAAGACATGCAAATTTCCTTGCTGACCATTTTCTGCCATGGTATAAAACGAAGAATCATGCCTTCCAAAATAAAATTATTTTATGTTATTGCTCCAAAGCTTCCTTGTTTGTGTTAGCATCTGGCAATTTTTGCCTATGGGAAATGTAATATAAAAAATTGCCCCTCTCTCACCCATCAAATACCACTTTGTCATTTGAAGTAAGAGCAGTGGTGCTGGAGTTTTTAAACACTGTGTACACTTAATGCCCATTTTATCAAACACACCTACCTTGTTGGTCCACCTTGTAGATGTACATTTAGAAAGAATATCATCTGTTGCTGCATAGTTTGTTTAAGTCATCCTTTAGTCCCTCATTAGTGGTCAGGTTCTGATTGCAGAATGCCATTGGATGGATATTGTTGGTTGGCAGACTCCAGGTAGATTCTCAGTCCAGAGGTGACTCTAAAAACCTCAGCAACACTGGTGTGTATGATCCATTCAGTGCGGCACATACACTCACTAATGTGCTACTACCATGTCAGTGCCACTGCAGTGCTGAGAATGATCCACCACCCAAACAATACCAGCTGAGCAGTGTTTGTGTGAGGGTCTATTATTGGGACTATTATTGAACAGGGTATTGTTGTACACCACTCCGGTCTATAGACCGTAATTTAACAGTCTCGGTTTGTCTCAGTCTCAACATTATTTTGACTCTGTCTTATCTTGGGGTAAGGTGGACTTGGATATTGTTGTCAAGACTAGCTGAGTGTGATGCCTCTGTCTGAGGTAATTAAAAACTGAATTTTTTCCTATCATTATTGAATATCAACAAAACCTTTAAACAGAAGTAAAACAGTCCTTTCTCTACTTCATAGGTCTGAACACAGAATAAACTGCTCTCTCTTATTAAATGCAAAAACTTGCATTCAGCAGAAATGCCAATGCTATCATGACAAAAGTGTTAAATCTACATATAAGTAAAAAAAATCATGCTTGGGAAAAAAATTACAGAACACTTTTTCCCTACATTTTTTCTACTGGCCTGGTTTTATTTAGATGACTTTAGGTAGTGATTCTGAATACATTTTAGAGAAGCAGGGACAGAGAGCAACCTTAACGATCATCTTCTTCTAGAAGTTACAGTACTAAGTTGGACTATGATGAATCTGATGAAATGGACAATAAGTGTAGACAAGATAAGTACCTCATAGAGTGGCCAGTGAGTCTATATGCTACATGCAAGCTAATGCTCCTACATATATTGACATCATAACACTGGCAAGCTCACCAAAAACCCTGTGTAAACGAATAAAGCTTTGTCAAGTGTAGGAGTCAAGTGGATTTGGCAGTAGTAGATGACAATCTGGGTAACTGTTGATGTTATGTAGTGTTGAAGTAGTGTATATTTATATTAGTAGGACCTTCCCGTAGTACGTGTTTTGTCATTATATATATATATATATATATATATATATACACACTACTTTACTACCATATTTGGTATGACAAGGGTAATTTATGTTCAGTTCTTCGCCTGTATATGTGTAATCTGGGAAACCTAGAAAAAGAAAAAAAGAGATACATTTCTACAATAGTCAACTTCTAAAGAGAAAAAAACATCACTGTTCATTTCTAATATAATTGTACTTACCTGTTAACCTGTGAATTAAAGTGATTGTACTCAATTCTGAGACCTCATTAAAAATACTTCTTAACAAAATACAAATACTAATCCTAAATCCAATCAAATCAAATCACGTTTATTGTCACATCAGATTTACACAGGTGCAAGGTGAGTGAAAATCTTAGGTGCGTAGCCCCCTTGTAAAATAAAAAAAATAAATAAATAAAAAATAAATATATATATATATGAAGAAAAAAGAAATATATATATTTCCCCTGATGGCCCAGGGGAAGAAACTGTCTCGTAACTGGCTGGTTTTGGACTTTTTACTTCTGTACCACCTCCCACTTGGCAGCTGTGAGAACAGACAGTGGCTTGGGTGGGTGGAGTCATTCAGAATCCTCCTGGTCTTCCTCAGGCAGTGGCTGGTGTATAAATCCAGAAGGTTTGGGAGCTGGACCCCGGTGATGTGCTGGGCTGTCCGCACCACCCTCTGCAGAGCTTTCCACTCGATGGCAGAGCAGTTCCCATACGAGGTGGTGATGGAGTCTGTTAAAATGCTCTCCACAGTACATGTGTAGAATGTTCTGAGGATGCGGGGGTTCATGCCAAACCTCCTCAGCTGCCTGAGGTAGAAGAGGTGCTGTTGTGCCTTCTTCACCACCCGTGTAGTGTGTTTGGTCCATGTCAGTTCCTCTGAGATGTGAACACTGAGAAATTTGAAGCTCTTTACAGTGGCCCCGCTGATGGTGATGGGGGTGTACACTTTCTCTTGCTTCCTGAAGTCCACTATGAGCTCCTTGGTCTTGTCGACATTGAGAGAGATGTTATTCTCCTGGCACCACTGTGTCAGAAAGCTGACCTCCTCTGTGTAGGCCTCCTCATTGTCATTAGAGATTAGGCCCACAAACGTGGGGTCATCTGCAAATTTTATGATGGCATTGGAGCTGTGTCTAGCTGAATAGTCGTGGGTGTACAGGGAGTACAAGAGAAGGCTGAGTACACAGCACTGAGGAGCTTCGGTGTTAAAGGTCAGGGAGGAGGAGGTGATGTTGCCCATCCACCTGGCATCAGCCCGGCAGGAAGTTCAGGATCCAGCTGCACAGCGAACTGTTCAGACCCAGATCCCGAAGCTTAACACCGAGCACTGAGGGCACGATGGTGTTAAATGCTGAGCTGTAGCCCACAAACAGCATTCTCACATACACGTTATTTTTGTCCAGATGAGAGAGGGCAGTGTGTGGAGTCAGGGCTATTGCATCATCAGTGGATGGATCTTTTCTGTCTGTAAGCAAACTGCAGTGGTATGGCAAGCCAAGAGGGTCAGAACTCGTCAGGGTTTTGACGGCGTATAAAGCGCGCGCTGTTTAAAAAACGTCCGTCCAGAGTGGCGTTTAAGGGTTTTCTTTTCGCCGTCAGGTGAACACGAGGCGCCGCCAGGTATTTCAGAACGTCTGACGGCAGCAGGCGCTTAGTTAACGCCACCACATGTCTGATGACCTGAATTTACATATCCCCTCCTTCCCCAAGAGGTTCAGCCCTGGCTTTAGTTTGGTTTGCCCAGTTCGAAACTCAGTGATATGCACTGTACAACCTGCAATCACAATGCCTGTAATTGTTTCACACAAATAAGTAGTCAGAAGATAATTAAACCTGTCAGTACCAGCAAAGTAAACACATTCACTTCTCACAAGTTCTGCTTTTGTCCATCTTGGGGCAAAGAAAAGTGAACAACTTTACAGCAGAGCTATCCATAGGCCCACATATAGGCTACATTGCCTGCTTGCTGCATGCATGTATACTCGGAAGCAGACCGATTAGCAGTGCGCAAAACCAGCATCGTAATCAGTGGAAGCAATAAAATTCTCTTGGCTATCACTGAGTTTCGAACTGGGCAAACCGACTCTCCGTATAACCCTCCCCCTGAAGGCTGAACCTGTTGGGGAAGAAGGGGATATGTAAATTCAGGTCATTTCTGCTTATGAGACGCGTGGTGGCGTTAACTAAGCGCCTGCTGCCGGCAGACGTTCTAAAACGCTTGGCGGCGCCTCGCGTTTACCTGACGGCGAAAAGAAAACCCTTAAACGCCGCTCTGGACGGCGTTTTAAAACATAGCGCGCGCTTTTTACGCCGTCAAAACCCTGACGAGTTTTGACCCTCTTGGCTTGTCATAAACTGACGGTGAAAAGAAAACACATAACCGCCACTCTGGACAGCGTTTTTAAACATAGCACGCGCTTTATACGCCGTCAAAACCCTGACGAATTCTGATCCTCTTGGCTTGCCACAGATGTTATTTTTTGATGCCTCGTGGAACATCTCCCAGTCTGCGTCTTCAACAGTCCTAGAGCGCAGAATCCGATTGGTCCGACCAGCGGTGGCCCTCTCTGATGGTGGGCGGTGCCCTTTTCAGCTTCTACCTATACGTGGGCAGGAGCAGAATGGAGGGATTATCCGATTTGCCAAACGGAGGTCGGGGGAGGGCTTCGTAGGCCTCAGGGAAGGGGGAGTAGCTGTGATCCAGCGTGTATGATTTTCGTGTGCTGCATGAGATGGAAGTACTTTGAAGCGACTTCACTAAAGTTCGCTTGTTAAAGTCCACAACAACAATGGAGGCGGCCTCCGGGCGCGTGGTCTCCTGCCTGTTAACAGCCTCGTACAGTTTCCCGAGTGCCAGGTCTGTGGTGGGATGTACACGGCGGTGACAATGACCCCAGAAATCTCTCTGGGCAGCCACAGCGGTCTGCACGAGATGATTAGATATTCCAGGTACGGAGAACAGAAAGACTTGACGAAGTGTACATTCCTCTGATCACACCAAGCATTGTTGATCATAAAACACACCTCCTTCTTTGCTCTTCTGGAGAGGTCCTTTGTTCTGTCCGCGCAGTGTACAGAGAAGCCCGCGGGCTCGATGGCCTCTTTGGGAATCTACGTTGATAGCCAAATCTTTGTGAGGCAGATTGTACAACAGTCCTGTGTCTCGCTGGAAAGAGATCCGCATGACCAAAACGCCGGCTCTCCTGCCCCTTCTCCGGCATCGGCGGCGTTTCCTCGGCCGGTCAGCCCAGAACTGACTTGGAACTTAAAGTACGGTGTTATGGTAAATTTAGTTTCCCCTGTTCCCCCTCATTGCGCACGTCGAAATCATGACGCCTTCAATTGACGCTGCTATGCGGGCTTAATTCGTTTGTGTTTGTACGGTTATTTCGTCCTATTTCTCGCGGTAAACGAATTATCACAAATGCACAGAAACAGATTAGCAGCATCATTGTTGTACTTTAAATCCACTCCAGCTGTATATATAAGGGGAAACCACTTTGCTCAGGCTCTGGTTAAGGATGTGCCCCGCTGTATTCTCAGTTCTAAAGATGATATGAATAAAAGTTACTGAGTGAAATGATCATGAACGGAAACAGATTATCAGCATCATTGTGGTACTTTAAATCCACTCCAGCTGTAATATACAAGGGGAAACCACTTTTCTCAGGCTCTGGTTAAAGATGTTCCCCCTGTATTCTCAGTGTAAAGGTGGTATAATATGAATAAAAGTTACTGTAAAGACAAGTCACATTAGTACCATAACAATAAGACTTCAGCTTCAAAGACTACAGGGAAACTAACTTCCTGAGTGCACTAAGATACATAGTCTAACAATAATAACACAGACTAATTACTGTGCTGTGTAATGTTTCAAATCTATTTACACAACTCAATGAGATTGATGAAGATATGGGACATAAATACACCTTAAAAATCACTGACGTCTGAACAACAGAATGTGTCTGCATGTACGGTAATTAAATAATAAATGGCACATTAAATCCATGTTGCTCGGAGTAGTTGAAAATGGAGCCAAAGCTAGCATTAGCAAGATAACCCATGTAGTGTTTGAGCATTAAAACATCTGCTAACAACACATTTTATACTTTAAAACGTGTTTAACAACAAGTCATTTTACAAACAACGTGATAATTCGCTTACTGCAAGGAATAGGACGAAATAATGGTACAAACACTAACGAATTAAACCCCGCAGAGCAGTTTCAACTGAAGACGTCATGATTTCGACATGCGTAATGAGGGGGAGCTGAATTTACCGTAACACAGGTTTTCGGTGAGTGATCGTCGATCTGATTTCCAAAAGTGTTTGTCTGTCGTAAATGAAGGTGCTGGCCACATTTAGTGTAAAAGTAGTTACAAATAAAAACAGAATTAACAAAAAAATGAACAGGACTGAAGGGAGTTCGCAACACGGCGCCATCTTGAAGAAAAGTAACTGAACCACTGTAAACTAATCTGTAAAAGAAATATAAACCTTAACAATAAACTAAAGTAGCCCAGCATACCATACACAAGGAAAATCAATGAACTTTATCGCTGTATTTATTTTCTTTTGAACAGCCAATGTAAATCTCCTTGTTTTGGGGCTTGTAACTTGTGTCCACTCAGGATATCCTTCCAATAAAGAGCCAAGTACCCCACTTATACTTGTGTCTCTGGTCCTTTGCTGTTCCACCACTCCAGCATACTTAAACTACCTCATGATGTTACGATTGCTGGATTGAGTCACTTGGTGCTCACAGACCACTTTGCTTCAGATGATGTGCTTTTCAAAATACCTGTCTAACAGATACAGAGCAAGGTTGTAATGTCCTTCAAATCCCTCAACTTGCTCCAGTGATGGAAAGCCACACTGATGTCATCTTGCTAGCTAAACTTCTAAGGCTGGTCTTTGGCTCTCAATATCTGCTGTTCCCCTTTACAAAGCCTTGGGAAGCCACAGATGCTGGATTTTTTCCTCTAAGCCAATGTTTTATTGACATCTTCCAAACTGTATGAAGAATTTTGCTAAACTGTACTAAAGGTTTATCATACTTCTCAGAGTAAAAGTGCTGATCTGGGATCAATCTATGCTTTTTACATAACTCTGTGAACTGATGAGACTTAAACTAAGATCATTGTTCTTGCTCTGGACCACTTGGTCCTGGCTTAAAATCAGAAAATTACCCTACCTTAAATGTTGATGTTTTATGTTTTGTTCACAGATACAGTGTGTTTTCCTTTTGAACAAGCCTTTCATCATATTGAATTACTGAAGAAGGCAGTGGCGCCAGCTTGGCAGAGTCATGGCAGGGTGGAGACCAGCCAGCCTCCTCATTTTCCTCCTGGGATTCCTCTTCCTTTCTGATGCCTCTATGTACCTCTCTGGCCAGCGGCTAAGGTCACGTTTGCAGAGGGACAGACGCAACGTTCGCCCAAATATAATCCTCATTCTCACTGATGACCAGGACATAGAGCTTGGTGAGCTATCTGTGGCCCAGGAAGGGGGTTGAAAATCATGGAAATCACCTCAATAGGCACATTTGGAAAATGGTACCATACCCATTTCATCCAGTGGCATGGGTCAACCAAAGTTTTCCAAACTGGCTGCCTTTCCTTGCAATGAGACCCTTGAGCATTTTTATTACTTGAGTGGCCACATAATGGCCTTGCTGCTGGTCTTTGTTGTGCTCCTATCAGCATGCTTTTTGGAGGTGGTATTTATAGTTAAGCATCTGTTGCATAGGATAGTCCAGAACAATCTGAAAAAGTTTTAATAGATTTAATTAAACAGGGCCACACTCAAAGAAGATTTGTTTATTCTCTCCCTTTTCTCTGTTTCTCTGTATCCTCATTCCTCTCTCTCTCTCTCTCTCTCTCTCTCTCTCTCTCTCTCTCTCTCTCTCTCTCAGGCTCTATGCTGGCCATGAGCAAGACAAAGCATATAATGATGCAGGGAGGCACCCACTTCTCCAATGCATTTTCCACAACTCCCATGTGTTGCCCATCTCGGTCTTCCATTCTGACTGGAAAATATGTACACAACCACCACACCTACACCAACAATGAGAACTGTTCATCTCCTTCATGGCAGGCCCATCATGAGCCTCACACTTTTGCTGTACACCTTAACAATTCAGGCTACAGGACTGGTTAGTGTTGTTAATTTTACTCACTAATTGCTTTGGCAATCACAAGTATCACTAGATTATCGCATTAGATCCCACTTGGTGTGGGCTTTGCTTCCTATGATGGCCTTGTTGACTTAAAAATAATTTCTTTTTTTTTTACAGCTTTTTTTGGAAAGTATTTGAATGAATACAATGGCTCCTATGTGCCACCTGGCTGGAGAGAATGGGTAGCACTCGTGAAGAACTCTCGCTTCTACAACTACACTCTGTGCAGGAATGGAGTCCGTGAGAAGCATGGCATGGAGTACTCCAAGGTTCTTCCTTTTTCTTAAAATATTCTATAGAATATAACAAAAGCATTTTACCTTAATGTATAAAACTCTTTGTTCAATTTCTGGTCTCTCTGATTCAGGTAGTGTAGACACTTAGATTAATTCAGGTTTACACTATTTTAGGATAGCTGTTTGATCTCTCTTTGTTAAGCTTTTACAGTATTCACGTGTGATAAATACATCAACTAAATCAACTGTATGTGGATTCAAGCTCTGCAGTGTTACTACTCAGGACATCAATATCTTCTCACTTCTCAACTTACAGGACTACCTCACGGATCTAATCACAAACGATAGCATCAACTACTTTCGGATGTCCAAAAGACTGTCTCCCCACCGGCCTGTAATGATGGTCCTGAGCCATGTTGCCCCTCATGGCCCAGAGGATGCAGCACCTCAGTATAGCACAGCCTTCCCTAATGCCTCCCAGCACATGTAAGCACACATCTCACAGTCTCTTAATATGTCAATTAAGAATTGCAGAAAAACCTCACAAGACATACAAAGCCTTAAGTTTTATGTAAAGTATGCATTTATCCAAAAGTTATATTATTAAAAAGTAGTAGTGTCAATTGTTTTATAATAAAAATTGAATTATTCTTTAGAATGAACATGCAATTAGAATTTGAATTAATTATCTTTTGATGCATTCATGGGTAGAAAGATATAATGTGCATTTACAGTAATCACTTCCCTAATGCTTTTGGCAAGTGAGAATTTACATAACAGCCACTAGAGAGAAATTTTGTGCTGCCAGTATAATCAATTTTCATTGTTCTCAAAGGCCAATAGAATAATTTGTAAGGCTCTTTCACATTTGTTTATTGTTTTGCATCTGATTGTTACTACACTTATTTTTACACATACACTCACCAAGTACTTTATTAGGAATACCGGTACACCCACTCATTCATGCCATTATCTAAACCAATTTTGTGTCAGCAGGGTAATGCATAAAACTTATGCAGATATGGGCCAGCAGCTTTAGATGGCCTTCACATCAATCATCAAAATGAGGAAAAAATGTGATCACTGTGATTTTGACCATGGTATGATTGTTGGTGGCAGAATGGGCTGGTTTGAATATTTCTATAACTGCTGATCTTCTGAAATTTTTCATTCACAACAATCTTTAGAGTTTACTCAGAATAGTGCAATGAAGAAAAAAACATCCAGTCAATGGGTAAGTATGCCTGCTGTTCATTTGATTTTCATTTTAAAAACCAGTATTGAAAAACGGCAAATGGGTCAATTCTCATTTCTGATTCTGATATAGAAATAGCTTCATTTTACAGTTTCACAGACTAATCATAAAATCAAATAACAAACAACCAGCAATGGAATAAAGGGTCGTTTTCTAATGATCCAAATTTAGAATTTCCCATCATAAGCGGAAATAAACGTGCAGAGTGCAGGTATGGAAGCTCAGAAATCACAGAAATCAGGCCTGTGGATCTGGTGTATTGGTAGGCCTTGTTACTTTTTATATAAGCCTTTGTATATTTGACATGTACAAACTATATAAGAAAGAAACGATATAGGGAAGAAGCTGAACTCCCACCATTTGACAGGGGCTTCATGCTCCCCAGAACAGCTGCAGACACGCTCAAGTTCAAGAAGTCTTCTGTTGGTGTTGTGCCGAACTCTGCTATGCATGCACATGCAACATACAGGCGTATGAACACTAGATTGCATTCTGTCTTTCAGTCATAATGACTAGTACTGTAGCCTCTTGGTGAAGAAGGACTCAGGAGAGACTGTCATTCTGCTAGAGAAGTGCTCTTTATTGACATCATCAGAAAAGACACACACTGAGCAGCCCGTTAGCAATGGAGGTCACATCCGCTCCCTCCACTTCATAGAAGACACTTAACCCAACTAACTAAACACACACCCATGTGTGTGATTCAGACCATCATAAAAAAACACTCACAGAAGCGAATTGAACACAGAGTCCTGAGCACAGAGACCCCCGGAGCAGTTTTAATGTGCCTCTAAAGCCCTTTTCCCTCTAAAACCAAAGCGCTTGGAACACAGGACAGCGCACATGGCATTTTGCTAATAGAACAAGTCACCAATCACATATAAAACATTATAAAGCATTGAATAATTCCAGATCTAGGCTGACTTTCTCAACACTCATGCTGAATCTTTCCTGTCCTCGTCATTTTTTAACCGCAACAGCCTGATTTCTGAGCTCCTGCAACCATGGGTGCACTCTACACCTTTATTTTTGCTTAATTTAAATCAGTAAAATCAACCTTATTCAACTGCTGTTTGATTGTTTTTTTGATTTTATGATTAGTCTGCAAAACTGTAAAATGAAGCTATTTCTTGTTTTTTCAACTGACAATAACAGAATCAAAAATGAGAATTGACCCATATTCTTGTTTTTCAGTACTGGATTTTAAAATGAAAATCAAATTAACAGAAGGTACATGGACCTCAGTGGCAGTTTCGCGGACGGAAACACTTTGTTGATGAAAGAGGTCATGAGAGAATGGCCTGACTGGTTTGAGCTGACAAAAAGACTACAGTCGTTCAGATAACCACTCTGTACAATAGTGGTGAGTAGAAAAGTGTCTCAGAACGCACAACATATCGAACTTTGAGGCTGATTGGCTACAACAGCAGATTTGAAAACATAGCCTGGTCTGATGAATCTTGATTTCGGCTGAAGCACCAACAGCATGAATCCATGGACCCAACCTGCCTTGTGTAAACAGTCCTGGCTGGTGGAGGTGGTATAAAGGTGTGTGGAATGTTTTCTTGGCACACTTTGGGCCTGTTAATACCAATCAAACATGACTTGAATGCTACAGCCTATTTGAGTACTGTTGCTGACCAGTAATATTACAATGTTCCTAACAAAGTCCTCAGTGAGTGTATGTCTCTAATTCTTTGTATGCGTTCCCCTTTAAATTTGTAAATTTGTGTTTAGAATGCCTTATTCATTTTTTCTTGCTTAATTTCAATAATGATAATTTCTATAATTAACATCACAGATTAATCTATTGATCAGACTGTAAGGCTAGTTTGAGTACTATTTCTCTGAATCAAACTGAAAAAAGACAAAGCCTAGGCCTATGACAATATTAAATAAGATTTTGAAATTGGCCAAAATTAATAGTGCTCTGTGACAATGAATTTTCCAATACAATGACACTCAGTACCATGTAACAGCCACAATGCATTCTACATCATGTTGTTCTATTCACCCAAAAATCTGTCTGTTCAGAGTGTTCACTCTTTAAATTATGCACAGTTATAAAATAAGCTCATGAAAATTTCATGGAAAATACCAGCTTCTCAAAGGAGACTGCTTTTATAACTCTTTACTGTTGCTAATTGTGCCCCCAGCACCCCAAGCTATAATTATGCCCCCAACCCAGACAAACACTGGATTCTGCGCTACACTGGTCCTATGAAGCCCGTTCACATGCAGTTCACCAACTTGCTGCAGAGGAGGAGGCTACAGACCCTGTTGTCAGTGGATGACAGTGTGGAAAAGGTGTAAAATCTTATTCAATTCACCTTTTTATCAGATTAAGTCTGGAGATTGAGGTGTTAAAGGAGAATTTCACAGATTTTTAAATATTTATGTATATTTAAATCATTTTGTTGTAAATAAAGTCATTCAGAGTGATTGCACCATTCTAGAAAAACTTTCAAAGTCAGATTTGCTTACAATCCTGGTAATAGGAACTGAAGTGTTTAATAAAAGCTAATGATGAGGGAAAATGATTACAGTGCGTATATTCACTTCAAATTTATACACGTGTTTTGACTGTCTTTTGTACAGACATGTCTTTTGTAAATATATATATACACTGCTCAAAAAAATAAAGGGAACACTCAAATAACACATCCTAGATCTGAATGAATGAAATACTCATTGAATACTTTGTTCTGTACAAAGTTGAATGTGCTGACAACAAAATCACACAAAAATCATTAATGGAAATCAAATTTATTAACCAACATTAACACTACAGGCTGATCCAACTTTGATGTAGTGTCCTTAAAACAAGTCAAAATGAGGCTCAGTATTGTGTGTGGCCTCCACATGCCTGTATGACCTCCCTACAACTCCTGGGCATGCTCCTGATGAGGTGGCGGATGGTCTCCTGAGGGATCTCCTCCCAGACCTGGACTAAAGCATCCGCCAACTCCTGGACAGTCTTTGGTGCAACGTGACGTTGGTGGATGGAGCGAGACATGATGTCCCAGATGTGCTCAATCGGATTCAGGTCTGGGGAACGGGCGGGCCAGTCCATAGCTTCAATGCCTTCATCTTGCAGGAACTGCTGACACACTCCAGCCACATGAAGTCTAGCATTGTCCTGCATTAGGAGGAACCCAGGGCCAACCGCACCAGCATATGGTCTCACAAGGGGTCTGAGGATCTCATCTCGGTACCTAATGGCAGTCAGGCTACCTCTGGCGAGCACATGGAGGGCTGTGCGGCCCTCCAAAGAAATGCCACCCCACACCATTACTGACCCACTGCCAAACCGGTCATGCTGAAGGATGTTGCAAGCAGCAGATCGCTCTCCACGGCGTCTCCAGACTCTGTCACGTCTGTCACATGTGCTCAGTGTGAACCTGCTTTCATCTGTGAAGAGCACAGGGTGCTAGTGGCGAATTTGCCAATCCTGGCGTTCTCTGGCAAATGCCAAGCGTCCTGCACGGTGTTGGGCTGTGAGCACAACCCCCATCTGTGGACGTCGGGCCCTCATACCATCCTCATGGAGTCGGTTTCTAACCATTTGTGCAGACACATGCACATTTGTGGCCTGCTGGAGATCATTTTGCAGGGCTCTGGCAGTGCTCCTCCTGTTCCTCCTTGCACAAAGGCGGAGGTAGCGGTCCTGCTGCTGGGTTGCTCCTACGGCCTCCTCCACGTCTCCTGGTGTACTGGCCTGTCTCCTGGTAGCGCCTCCAGGCTCTGGACACTACGCTGACAGACACAGCAAACCTTCTTGCCACAGCTCGCATTGATGTGCCATCCTGGATGAGCTGCACTACCTGAGCCACTTGTGTGGGTTGTAGAGTCCGTCTCATGCTACCACGAGTGTGAAAGCACCACCAACATTCAAAAGTGACCAAAACATCAGCCAGAAAGCGTAGGTACTGAGAAGTGGTCTGTGGTCCCCACCTGCAGAACCACTCCTTTATTGAGTGTGTCTTGCTAATCGCCAATGATTTCCACCTGTTGTCTATTCCATTTGCACAACAGCATGTGAAATTGATTGTCAATCAGTGTTGCTTCCTAAGTGGACAGTTTGATTTCACAGAAGTTTGATTTACTTGGAGTTATATTGTGTTGTTTAAGTGTTCCCTTTATTTTTTTGAGCAGTGTATATATATTCATAAGCATAATCAAAGATTGTGTTTAAAAAATGAAATTGAAAAAATATTCAGACACTATATAGAAATACAGTGCCCTCCAAAAATATTGGCACCCCTGGTAATCATGAGAAAATGAGCTGTAAAAATATTTGATCCTTCATTCAAAATATTAGCAAAAATCTATTTCATTTAAGGTATGCTATTTGAAAAAAAAAAACTAAATCTTGTCATAAAACAAATATTTGTATGTGTGTTTTTATTGGGGGGTTGCTTTTGCCAGACGTTACTGAAACTTTCAGTGGGACTGTGTTCTGTGGTCAGATAATAAATAGAGGTTTTTGGCAACAAACACTAGAGGTGATTTTGGTGTGGACACAAAGATAGCCATGCAAAAAAGTACCTCATTTCGACTGTTACTTATGGTGGTGGATCTGTGATTCTGTGGGGCTGTTTTTCTTCCAAAGAAAAAAAATGGTGATTTGAGAAAAATATTTAATTCCTGATAGTTTAGTCATCTCCATTTCTGAACCCCAGGCAAAACTGCCAAAAGAAGCAGAGATGCATATGTAAATTTGCACATGAGCATTTAGACAAATCAGAACACTTTTGGAACAATGTGCTCTAGTCATACAGGAACAAAAATAGAACTCTTCGGCAATCATTCAATTGGTCATGTTTGGAGAAAGTATGGTTGTGAGTATGATATACAGAGGTGGGAGAATCATGATTTAGGGCTGTTTCTCTGCAAGTGGTATTAGGGCATTACATGTAAAAAACATGTAGGAAACATGAATGGAGCTATGTACTGGGACATATTAAAGGAGAAGTTAATCTCATTGGCCAAGAAAGTGAATCTAGGGAGGAGACAGACATTTCAACAAGACAGTAAACACATACAGCCAAAACCGCACAAGTCAGTTTCTTAAAAAAGAGAGTGAAGGTGCTTGCATGGCCTAGATAATCTCCTGACTAGAAAACTTTAAAATGGCGAATCCATCAGAGGGACCCTCATAACCTTGGAAAATTGAAGACGGTTTGCCAAAAAGAATTGACCAATATTAAACCACAGTACAGCAAAAAGGTACAACCCCAATTCCAAAAAACTTGGGACGCTGTGCAAAATATAAAGAAAAATACTATGCAATGATATGCAAATCATTTAAACCATATTTTTAAAGGAAAATACTACAAAGACAACATATCAAATGTTGAAATTAAGACATTTGATTGTTTTTTTTTTAAATAAATGCCCATTTTGAATTTGATGCCAACAACACATTCCAAAAAAGTTGGGGCAGGGGCATGTTTACCAGTGTGTTTCATCACCTCTTCTTTTAACACTTTGTAAGTGTTTGGGAACTTACCAGACCAGTTGTTGTAGTTTTGAAAGTGAAATGTTTCACATTCTTGGTTAATATAGGATTAGGGTTCATTCATTAAACAAGTCAAATGTAGACATAGGCAGGAAAATAAAATAAACCTCTGTGTTAATGAGCTTGTTTATCAAACTATTTAATTAACTATACTAGATACTTGGAGCTTGCCAGTAGCTAATGTTACCTATACTAAATACTTGCTTTTGATCTCAACAACACCAAGTAAATTAAAGTTGTTGCTCACTATGGAAGTTTCAATTTAAGATAATCTGGCTTCAACATTCAAAAAGTGGATAATGTCACACAGCATGGCTAGCTACTCACAGGTTGCAACTGGAACTGCCCCTCTCTTCACAGCCTGCAAGGGTATAATTTCTTCAAATACTCCACCATTTCAATTGCTGTTGCTACTTTGTCGTTGTGTCCTGCAGGGCTGGAATGTGGTCTAGTGTGTGTAAATTTTGGGGGTCTAAATATTCAAGAGTCAAGATACATAACAGTTTAGGATTTGGGAATTGGCCCATTTTACCACCCTCTTTTGCAAATGCAGGATTTGTATTTGAAGGAGGAGACAGTGTTTTGAGGTTCACAGTATGTCAGTTCCATGTACCTCTTCTTATTAAAATATGCCAATGTTAATACAGTTTTCCTTTCTGTGGCAGTTAAATCTGAAATGTTATCAGGGAGAATGTGGGGAGAAAATGCCAAATGCTCTTTGACCTTTGATTTCATATATTAATGCTTGTGTGCATGTTTCTTTTTTATTGAGATATACAATATGCTGGTGGAGACGGGTGAACTGGACAACACCTATGTTATCTACATGTCTGACCATGGCTACCACATCGGCCAGTTTGGCCTTGTCAAAGGAAAGTCCATGCCCTATGAGTTTGACATTCGTGTGCCTTTTTACATACGAGGGCCAGATGTGGAAGCAGGTGCCATGTGAGTTACAGATCAGACATAGATTCCATTTATGTAAAAGGCACTTCATTAGAAGCCATTTATAATTCTGTTTAAAATGGCTGTAAAATGCAAGACAAAATGTCAGTTCTCCATCTTTCTCAAAGGGTTCCTGTACTGCTAGAATTGGTCATTATTAATTTCTGTTTTCTTTTTCAGTAACTCCCACATAGTTCTCAATGTTGACTTAGCTCCCACTCTACTTGATATGGCTGGAGTAGACATTCCTGTGGACATGGATGGGAAATCTATTCTGAAACTGCTGGACACTGCTAGACCAATTAACAGGTACAAAAATGTAATACTTCATTCTGTTTTTATTCCAGTTGTTCAGCAGTGGACTTATGCTATTTTGTCATGTTATTAAGTAATTTCACATTTAGGCATCAGTGTAGCTTTGTCCTACTAATCTCAACAAAATAAAGTGTTGTCGGAACAGCAGTTATAATTTTATATTTATATTTTAGGTTGTAATTTTAGACTCCACCGCGACCCTATCTGGACTAAGCCGTTAAAGAGGATGCTGATGATGATTTTAGACTCTAGTGATACTTTACTGACAGATATACAATGCAATGATGTGCAAATCATTTAAACCCTATATCTAATTGAAAATAGTACAAAGACAACATATCAAATGTTGAAACTGAGAAATTGTATTGTTTTAATATATGGCCATTTTTTGGCCATGAATTTGATGCCAACAACACATTCTAAAAAAGTTGGGACGGGGGCAACAAAGGGCAGGTAAAGTTGTGTAATGCTTAAAAAAACACCTGCTGGTTAATTGGCAACAGGTCAACAACATGATTGTCTATAAAATGAGCATCTCAGAGAGGCTGAGTCTTTCAGAAGTAAAGATGAGGAGGGGTTCACCACTCTGTGAAGGACTGCCCAGGCAAATAGTGCAACAATTCAAGAATAACATTTCTCAACATAAAATAGCAAAGAACTTTTGTTTTTCATCATCTACGGTACATAATATCATTAAAAAATTTAGAGAATCTGGAGAAATCTCTGTATGCAAGAGACAAGACCAAAAACCAGTATTTGCTGACCATGATCTTTGGGCCTTCAGATGGCACTGCAATAAAAATGGACATGATTCTGTAGTGGAAATCACTGCATGGGCTCAGAAAAACTTATGAAAAACACTGTCTATGAAAACAGTTTGGCGCTGCATCCACAAATGCTGATTAAAACTCTTAAATGCAAAGAAGAAAGCATATATAAACAGGATCCAGGAATGCTGCCACCTTCTCTGGGCCTGAGCTCATTAAAATGGACTGAGGTGAAGTGGAAAAGTGTCCTGTGGTCTGACGAATCAAAATTTTAAATTCTTTTTAGAAATCGTGGACACTGTGTCCTCCAGGTTAAAGACCACTCAGTTGTTATCAGTGCATAGTTCAAAAGCCATAATAGTATAGGGGTGCATTAGTGCATATGGTATGGGTGGCCTGCACATCTGTGAAGGCACCAATAATGCTGAATGATATATACATGTTTTGGCAACATATGCTGCCATCTAGACAACGTCTTTTTCAGGAAAGGCCTTGCTTAAGTCAGCAGGACAATGCTAAACCACATTCTGCATGTATTACAGCTGCATTGCTCCATATTAAAAGAGTCCGTGTGTTAAACTTGCCTGCCTGATGTCCAGACCTGTCACCACTGATATCATTTGACACATTATAAAATGAAAAATTTGACCAAGGAGACCCCAAACTGATAAGCAGCTGAAATCCTATATCAAACAAGAACGGGAAAACATTTCACTTTCTCCTCAGTTCCCAAATGCTTACAGAGTGTTGTTAAAAGAATAGGTGATGAAACACATTGGTAAACATGTTGTTGGCATCAAATTCAAAATGGGCATATATTTTTCAAAAAACAATAAAATTTCTCAATTGTAACATTTGATTTGTTGTCTTTATACTATTTTCAATTAAATATAGGGCTTAAATGATTTGCACATCATTGAATTTTGTCTTTATTTACATTTTGTACAGCATCCCAACTTTTTTGGAAATGGGGTTGTAATTGTCAATTCTCAATTGCCACACTGAAATGACCAACAGTAATTGAGTTTTACATAACATAAATATTGTAGCACTTTGGGCAGAGTTACTTGCTAATTTTATCACTTTTGGTTTCTGTTAATGAATTCTTATTTTTCTTGTAACTCTTTAGTTATTTTGATAAAAGCTTTCATGTTATAAAGTTATTTTCATGCTACATGTTTGTTATTTTAACCATAATGTTATTTTGAGTTCACATTGAGTAGTTCAACCTGTATTGCTGTCATATGTGTCATATAGTTAAACAGAGGGTGGCTCTTATTGGGAGGTTCCAAGTTTGAATTCCAGTAATGCCACAGCCAAAAAAAAAATTGCTAACTGTGGGCAACATGCAGATGATATTTTCACTTATAATATTAAAACCATGGGTCGTCAATATCTGACGATAGTATTGGGCAATCGTTATATTAGTTTAGTTCATTTTTGCATCAAGTTTGTACGTTAAAAAGAAAAAATTGTACATTTTGTTCTACTACTAATTTACTTTAAAATATGGATATAGATATAAATATGAATATTTTACACCTTTGTGCAGTCATTGTGTGCAGAGTAGATTTGTGTTCTGTTCAGTTGTGGTTATTCTTAACTGTCTTTATGTTTCAAGGTTTCAGTTTAACAAGAAGGGGAAAGTATGGAGGGATTCTTTTCTGGTAGAGAGAGGGTGAGTATGTGGAATTGGGCCAGATGTGCCTATGCATTTTTAATTGAACTCAGAATCACTCAACCTTATACTGTATCTCAGAGAAAGAAGACCTTATCTGGAAATTGATTATAGGACTGTCCATTAAAGAGACACCAGATGGCACTCTGATATCTGACACATTGGTGTTTTAGCAAAGCTTCAGCTGATGCTCTGTTGTCTTTGTATGGTAGCTGTGGGTTTGAGTAAGTCATGTCTCCCTGTAACCTTACAGGAAGCTTCTGCATAAGCTGTCAGATGGAAAGGAGGAGATGCAGGAGAACGCTCTGCCGAAGTACCAGCGAGTTAGAGATCTCTGCCAGAAAGCAGAATATCAGACTCCCTGTAAGCAGCCGGGACAGGTACATATATGTGCACACATACACATAGACTATACACATATACACACACCAATCAAGTCTCTTATTGATCAAGAAGTACTTATCATCATTTTTCAACCTAATGTCAATCTACCACACTGTATTGTATGATCGATTACCCTAGACAAAAAGAAAAAAAAAAAAATCGATTCACCGATAGCACACTTATAATAGAAGCTATTTGGTTTTCTGTTCTTGTCTAAGTACAGAGAAATTATTGTCTACAGTAATAGACCATAAAATGCACAATTAGCTCGGGATACATAACACATCCAAGACCAATACAAGACAGAAGACCACACAAAGAAGCACCAGCTTATTGGTTCCTACTATAACTGTTTTGTGTCATCATGTTTTCGGTGCTTTTACTAAGTACTGGGTAATGTGTTGAAATTATTAGCGGCGTTTCGAAGGATTTTTTATGAAAAATGTTTTAACGCCTCAGAAAATATATTAATGTGGTCTCCAAAATTTTATGAATTGTCAACAGAAGTTTTTTGCTGATCAATTTTAGCAGATAAATTGCTTGTTAATACCTGTAATGTTGCCAAAACATATGTTGGATTTTTTGGGGAAAAAAAAAAACATTTCCGCATACATTTAGTGTCATGTGGCAGATTTCCCTCACAAGCCTCTTACAGCAAACACAAATGCCCAATTTAAATCTTGGACTCACTGTCTTGCAGACTTTGCACCTATGCTCTTTGACGCTCATTGAAATGCTCATTGTCATCACACTGAATCTGCTCGGCTGCATGGCTGCCAGCATATAAAAATGCTAATGGGGGGAGACTTCAACTTGACACTTCTGTGATTAATATTAACACCTAAAACTGCACATTTGCACATGAATTGTGTTTTGCTTACTTTGGAGGCATTCTTCATTCTTCATTTCGATTAGGGTTAGTTCTGCTATGAATCCACTTATATCCTTGATTAGTGGTCACCAACCCTGCTCCTAAAGATCTACCTTCCTGCAGACTCCAATCCTAATAGACCCCATGTGATCAATCCAATTATTGTCCTCAGATGCATCTTGATTAGCTGAAGGAGTTGTGATAGACTTGGGTTGGAGAGGAAACCTGCAGAAAGGTAGGTCTCCAGAAGGAGGGCTGTTACTCGTTCTACAGTCCACAACTGTGCATGCATGTGAGGACTGCTGCAGGGTGTCTCATTTCTCATTTTGCGGTTCAAATGGTGTGCACTAGTGCTCTCTATGCACCCCTACTGTGGCCTTCAGAGAGGACAGCACTGATGCAGACTCAGCAGTGGCCCATTACCCCAAATTCAATGAAATACAGTCAAGGACCAGTCAGAATGGACAGGTTTGTTTACAGCTGTATGACCAACATGGCAGAGGGAAAGATATTCAGATGTGAGTAAAAATGCATTTGTTTATTAATTTAACTTGTCATTGAGCTACAGTATGTTTGTAATCTAAATTCAGATACTGTAGATAAGCAAATAAGCTCATTAAAAAGTATGACGAAACGCAGCACACGACACATACAGAGCCCACACATTGCATGAGTCACACATTAAAGCCAAGTACCCTCAATGTCTCGTGCCCTATAAGTCTACATGTTGTAGATGTCAGCAATATGTGGACGACTGCAGTGCTTAGGGCACCATTTGGGATATTAGATTGGGCAAGTCAAAATGTAAGAGCATGGCCGTAGGTATAATTGGACTGAGGAGGCGATGAGAGCATTTTTTAAAAGAATACTGCTTTTTAGCACTTACAGAGATAGATGTCCAGAATAAGCTACAGCTTATCTAAAGGAAATGTGCTCAAACAGCTCTGTATGATAGAGAAACATTGTCTCTCACATAATGGTTCTCATAGAAAAAACAATAATAATAATTTAGGGGAGAAAGGGAGGCCAAAGCTACATAGGTTTTGACATAGTGGGAATTAGAGATGGAAAAAGTCAATTTTTTTTTTAAATCAATAAACCAAAACTTTTTTTATTTGCAGAAAATGGCATAGGCGCAAAGCATATATATTTAGCGCTAAAAGTCACTCTGATGGATACAAGCTAATGGGCAGCAATGATCAACAAGAATTAGTAACAGCCCCCAGAAACCATCTGGAAGAAACTAAATACCATTGGCTCCTTCTAATGACTCCCATATGAATTTGTGTGTACCTGCATTTAGGTCTATCCCATAACCTTTCCTAACACACATATAACACATACACATACATTGAGAAGGTACAAGGCACCTACCTTGTCTCCACACAAAATGGCCATTTTAGTAGAAATATCTACCATATAGTTGCACTTTGTTGGTTTACAGTTACTGACTGTAGTCCACCTGTTGCTGCATAATTTATTAGCCCCTCTCCAGCCCCATTCAATGAACAGAAACTAAACACTGATGTAGGGTTAAACAATGACTAAATTTTGGTGTAAGTATGAGAAAGGTGTATCTAATAAACTGGCAACTCAGTGTACACACACACACACACACACACACACGCACATACGCATACATGCACAGACGAAAGGACAGAGTCTTTCAAGTCTTTCTAACACTCTCTCCCCTCACTCTACAGAAGTGGCAGTGTGTGGAAGACCCCTCAGGCATGCTGAGGTTGTATAAGTGTAAGAGTATGGCAGGTCTCTATGCCCCCCATGCTCAGGGCCTGATGTCCAGTAATGCTCAACTGTACCAGCGTGGATCACCTTCACGGCACTGTGACTGTGAGCCTGCTGTGCCTTTCAAGAGAAAGAAGATGCTCACCAAGAGGAGTATGTCTCAAACATGTTTTGAGAATTCAAAAACTTGTTTTTGTTCCTGATCTAATCAAACATAGTTGTCTATACCACATTTGAAAATGCATATCAGTGTGAGTTATTTATATTTATCTGAATGAATTGTCTCTTTCATATTCGTTTGTTAGAACCATCATAAATTATCAAATACAATATCTCCATCATGTGGCTGAGTTTGGTAATACTGTAGATGACTTGCACACTGAAAAAGGTAATGCAGTTGTGCCTGTGTCTGTGTCTGCACAGTGCCTGTGACTGTGATTGTCATGTATTAGAGTAATATGTAAAGAAAATAAAAAGAGTTCGCTGCAGGTCAATGCACTACATGATCAGAAAAAAAACCTTCACCATATTCTACACAAGTAGGCAAGTGCAAGTGGCGTACACAATGACAGAACAGACCTGAATACCTGAATGCTTGTCTCCTAAAGTGTAGGCGTCCAGAGGCTCTGTTGTGCTATGAGGGGCATTTTTTGCCATGGTTTGGGTCCCCTTAGAGGGAAGGGTCACTGAAGATCAATACAAAGTTATCCCTCTTATCTTATGATGAATCGTTTCTATTCGGATGGCAGTGGTCTCTTCCAGGATGACAATAGGCCTATCCACAGCACTATAAAAAGTGGCTCATCAGATTTACTTAAAAAATTACTTCATGTGGTAACAAGTAAATGAACTAGTTTTATTCAACCTAAATAAATACTTTGAATTAATGATAATTTCAATCAATGTAGTTTTAAGTTGAATAAAACTAGTTCAATAGTTTGTTACCACATGAAGTAATTTTAGTTAAGTACGTTTAGTTTAGTGAAGTAGATCTGACGAGCCACTTTTTACAGTGAGGGTACGATTGGTCAGTAAATGATTTGATGAGTATAGAAATTACATAAATCAAATAGTGTGGCCTTCGCAGTCACCAGATCTCAATCCAGTTGAACAGTTATGAGAGATTTTGGACCAAGATGTTATACAGCATTTTCCACACCAATTGGAGGATTCTCTTTTGGCAGAATGGTGTTCCATTCCTCCTGTACAATATAGTGCCTCAGAATATGTGATATATGAAATACATGCATTTCATTGTCTCATTCTATTCAGAACTGAAGCCAAAAAAGAGTTTGTCTCGGAATCGCTGGGCCCGGGCACTCCCACCTTACTTGGACAGTAGTGTTTACACTTTGGATCTGGAAGATGGCTACCAGCCCATCACACCAAAGAATATCAGTCACACACTGGACAGAAAACAGGCCACTTATGAAGGCAATGAAGAGTTCAGCGGAATGGAACCTACAGACAACAACCTCATGCTGCCTGCAGCCCTTAAAGTTACCTACAGGTTAGAGACAGATATGCTTTTGGTTGTTGGGAATGGAAGATGTTAAGAAATGTACTCCATTGTGTCCATAAATAGATTATTCTACTAAATAGGTTCAAGGACAGAGTTAAATACATGTTTTAACTTTTTAACTGACCTCGATTTAGAATAAAATCCTTTTGCTTTGATTGACCCCTATACATCACATTGGCACATCCAGGAACTTTGGCTTGCAACGTATCCCTGTCCCTTTCTGGGGGAAAACAAATGACACTCGCCATAGACTGTAATGTAAAATAGCAATACAAAACAAAATCAGTAGAGAACCATCTGAACTAAAATAGTGTCTTTGGGTCATTTATAAATGGCAGGTGAATATGTGTCCTTTCTGCCTGCTGTAGAATGTGAAAAGTATGCTAGCTAGCATTAGCACTGTGCTCTGACAACTGAACTAGCTATGTTAGCCTGGTCGTTTAGCCTAAGCCCAAACAAATAACTGTTAGTAGCCTACAAAGAACCCAGATGAGTGCACACAGCCTCGCTGCCACAGTCATCTATTCTATGTAACCCTACTCTGATTGGTAATTCTATATAATGAACAGAATTAAATAATCAGTTCAAATAATGTTTAATGTTTACTTAATTGCAGAAAATATGTCTCAATCATGATAATTCTTAAGGTTACACTCTGATTTTCTGGGACACCTTTACTTCAAAACAGTAGGATCTAGGAACAGAGATGCAGTCTCACTTCCTGCTCTAAAACACAGGGTTGTGGCTAAAATAAGGCACTACCTATGGACTAAGACTCTTTGTGTTTTGGTGGTGACTAGAAAACTTGAGACAGCGTTGTTTTTCATTTCATTCAGTAAACTCATGAAATCTTTCATCTTCACTTTAAAAAATCAAAAAGATATTTTTAATTTTTAAAATATTCATGGAAGTATTGTCTTCATAAATTGAAATTTAGGGGAAGGGGTAGGACAGCCACAGCCCAATAGAAAGCACACTGTAAATGATGATTTTGTATATATTTAGCTTATTACTATCTTAATTACTATGTTCGGTTTAACAGATTATCAGTAACACATCCACAACATATCAGTGAAGTAGCAATATCGAAGCATTTGAATACACTGAAGTAAATATCTTGTAGATGTACTGTTGATACATTACTTACATTAAGTAGATGTATTGTTAATATGTTACTTCCATTACACAAAACCTAACCTTACTTGACCTTACCCAAAACTTAACCCTAACCCTGGCCCTAATCCTAACCCTAACCATAGCCTCAACCCTAAACCTAATCCTAACTCTCATATGTTTTTGACATGCTACTGAGAGTTCGTTGAGTGTTTGTTTCATCTAAAAGGACCACTCAAAATAAAGTGTTACCATAGTTTTTACTGTGGGACTTCAGACTAATTTGGTTTGATTTAATTCGGTTTGAGCTAATTTGGTACAATGCTCCGTGTACGCTTTAACACATGAACATATTTAACTTGAGGTAGTAGGTAAACCAGTATAAAAGTGAATGCCTGTGTGATGTCCCATGGTGTGGATTTCACCATGTCATGGATACCATGACAATAAACTCAAAAAACAGCCCTGCTGCCAACATCTAATTGTAGTACTGTAAACCTTTAAACTGCAGTGAAGTTTGTTCAGAATTTCAACATAGTGCTTATTTCAGGTGTTCAATACTAATAAATGACACAGTGAAATGCGATGATGGACTGTACAAATCACTACAGGCCTGGAAAGACCACAAACTACACATTGAGCATGAGGTAAGGTTTTACTTCTTTATTGTTAATATTCTTAGAAAGGGAATACCATGTTGTGCTGGTTTTATTCCTCTTCCTCTTCCTCTGTAAATAGATTGAGACTCTACAGACCAAGATAAAGAACCTGAGAGAGGTCAAAAGTCACCTGAAAAAGTTTCGGCCAAAAGAGTGTGAATGCAACCACAAAATGTGAGTATGCAGATTGATTTCGCAGAAGAGGATTTATTTGTCATACCAATTAGAGATAAGGTATAATTTTATTGGACAATAAAGCTCAGTGAACAACTGTGCTTCATGCAATAACTCCATTCACTAATCCCATGTTTACTATAGACCATGTTACTTTTTATTTGATTTGTAATGCAGTGCATTCTTTTGTGTTTAAGTTATCAGTACAAGAACATGTCACTCAGACTCAAGTCAGAGCACATGCGTTCTCTAAGGTGAGTCACAGTTACAAATGAACTTATATATTGTCCCTGTTAAATAAGCAAATAAATTAAGTGAGATAAGTAAATAAAGCACAAACGGGGCTGTCACTATTGATTATATTAGTTAAATAATATTTTAAAAAACAAACAAGCCAAAACAATAAAAAAATACCCTTAACTGAATAAGAGCAAACTATGCATAGTGTTTAAAAGATTTTTTAAAAATTCTATTAAAAGAGGAGGAAGGAAGCTTTTTCAAAGACCTATATATAATAATGTTATATTATTAAAACATTATATGGAAACTTATGCATATAAATGAGGGTGGACCATCTTTTCTTACTGCAAGAGAAACCAGTAGGAGACTTTAAAAACTATGCAGATTCATTGTGAAGGTTAATTTTATTCAGATTGTTTTTAATTGACAACTCCTCTTACATTGACCTTGACACGTCAATAGACTGGCGTCTAAAGATAAGAAGCAGTGGCTACTGAAGGAACAAAAGCGCAGGAAGAAGCTGCGGAAGATGCTGAAGCGTCTCCGGAACAATGACACCTGCAGCATGCCCGGCCTTACCTGTTTTACTCACAATAACCAGCACTGGCAGACTGCCCCCTTCTGGACAAGTAAGACACTGCAGCCCAAATCTTTGAATGACAATAGGCCATGGTTCTACAAACCCTGTCCATTACCCTGCACACTTTAGTGTTTACTCTTACCTAAGGCTGTCCCTGTCAATTAAATTAGTTATCAACTTACAATTTTTGATACTCTAGTGAAGTGATGTGGCTTTTTATAAAGGCCACACACCAAAAGTGCACTTAACTGAACTGTAACAAATAGTTATAGTTCTTTTTCTATGAAGGGCAACTTTAACATTTGAGTGTAACACTCAAAAACGTGTACTAAAAATGACAAAAAGTGTCATTAAATGACTGACATTCTTTAGAAAAATCATCATTGACTAGTTTGGGATAGTTGTGTATTGGACCTCTCTAAAAACAATAAAAGTGGTAAAATAATTCTGTTTTTAAACATTATTACCATTTTGAATCTTTTTGTCTATAAAGTTGGCATGGGGCATGCGCGGTGGCCAAGGTGGCTAAGGCCCACCCTGAAATCTGACTGGCCACCCCAGATGCCGCACCCAAAATTTCTGCAGCGTCATTGACTTCCACCTTGCTGTAGGCTAGGTGTTTGTACCTTGAAGAGGAGAGTTGTTTGCTGCTGATGGAACAACTCTCCACCCTTGCGCTCACACACCCTGCAACGCCCCTCCTTTGCACATTCTCATTGTGAGCACGTGTCTTTCGGCGATCAACGAAACAACTCTCCAAAACTGCTACCCCTGCTCGCACTTTATTTTAGCGCTCACACGTTGAAACCACCTCCTTCAATAAATATTAAACCATCTTAGCATGGTTAGCATTAGTTTAGCTAGCATGATAACAACTCTACCCAGCACATAACATGTGCAATTCTGGCCAGCTAAATCACTGATACAAGTTTAAACGATTATTATTCAACATAGAACGGACTTGATTCTGATGAACTGCTGCTCTGCCTACAAAAGATTAGATGATTAAAAAAACTAATGTCTGAGAGAGCAAAAAGTAAAGTGACTGGTGTTGGAGTGACAGAAAGCTGAGATCGAACCTGTTCTGCAGTGTTTGTGACTGTAGCACATTGGCTAAGCTTTCAAGAGCTTAGTTAGTGAGCCACACATGCCACTCATCATGGCACAGGCTTTGTTCCAGCTAACCGATGCTAAATTGGACCCCCGTTTAGAAGAAATATGATACATAACACACACACACACACACACACACACACACACACACGCACACACACACATTGTTTAAACTGTTTATTTTTCTGGGTCGCAGGGGATGCTTGAGCCTATCCCAGCGGCTATGATACATAACAGAATATATGTTGAATCATTTCAACTGGTGTAATATACATGGGGTAATATAGCGATATATCGTCGCCGACAGAACAAAAACTTGTATCTCAGTTTTTTAAAGTTTTTTCTGTTTGCTTTTTTGTTGTTTGTTTTTTTTTTAATAACAATGCCAGCGTGTCACAATGTGTCAAAGGTTCATAATGAATGAACCAATAGAAATGCATCGCAATTCCTTGGAATAAACTCCTGTTACATTAACTTACATTGAAAGAATGTTTTTGCCTTCTCCTGTAAAGTACTTTGGAAATACAAGGTTTTGTTTAGACAGCAACACATATATGTCACATATATATGTCAAGTAATTGTGACTTTTACATTAGGCATATTAAACATATTAGACTCTTCACATTTTACATGTGAAAAGTTCATGATGATAGACTAATAGAACTGCTCCAAAATTGCTTCAAATAAAATCTCTTCACGTCAACTTACATTGAAAGTAAAGAGCGTTTTCACCCTCTTCTGAAAAGTTTTGGAGATCCTTTGGACAGCAACGATATGGTGATTAAGTAACAAATTACAAAATCTTGATTAGGTAACAAAAATAGAAAATATGTGGTTTGTATACATTAATAAAGCACATAATGTCTGGGGGTGTTTTCCAAATGTTTTGCTCTATTTGAAATGTTACTAGTGGGGCCATTCTGTGCCTGTACCAGTGCCAACAATAACACCTACTGGTGTCTAAGGACCATCAATGACACCCACAACTTCCTGTTCTGTGAGTTTGCCACTGGATTCCTGGAGTACTTTGACCTCAACATGGACCCTTATCAGGTAAACACAGCATGGTCAGCCAGATGATGATTTTGAAACCCACACTAAAAAGTTATCTTTTACTAGCCTTTACCATATAAGGGAACTCAATAAATGGCAAACTTACAAAATGAATGTCTGCTTGTGTGTTTGTTTGCTGTGTGCAGCTGATAAATGCTGTTGGTTCACTGGATCGCAGTGCACTCAACTACATGCATCTGCAGCTCATGAAGCTGCGCAGCTGCAAAGGTCAGAAGCAGTGCAGCCCTGATACAGGTTAGTCACACAGCAACAGGATTTATGCATGTATATTACACACAGGCACACAAAAAGTAAGGGTGATGATGGCGACTGCAACTTCCACTTTCAGGTTCGTTTACCTGCAGCTGTTAAAAAATATTGATTATCGTTCACTCCTCAGTCCATACAATCAGAGAAGATTATACATCTGGAAGTTAGAAAAGAGCAGGGCTAGTCAGCAGGGCTCAGACTCGCTGTTAGAAGCCCCGGGTGCCTCAGGAAGAGTGAGCACACTCTCAACTCTGGCAGCAGAGCCCTCACAGCGGGGTGAATGGGTGACGTCTCGGCGGCATAGCCGCAATGCTAAAGCTAAAGCTACCCCACACGAGCACCACTCATGTCCCATTCACGTGTCCAACAGGTTTGCCCCACTCAGTGCGACACCCCCTGAGACGCCTGTTAAAAGAGCTCTGGTTATAGGTCATTCTATTTTACGGCATGAAAACTGAAGCTGCTAGTTAGCCGTAGATATTTAAGGATAGTCATTCATGTGGGTACTAATGACGTTCATCTGCAGCAGTCAAAAAAAAACAAGACAACATTAAAGAGGTGTGTAAATTAGCCCAGACGATATCCAATGCTGTAATGCTAAAAATGCTCTGGCCCCATCCCATTTCGGTGTGGCGCTGAGATCTACAGCAGGTTATGGTCACTGAACTGCTGGTTGTCCAAGTGGTGCTCAGAAAACAATGTGGGATTTGTAGATAATTGGTCTACTTTTGAGTGCAAGCCTGGTCTTTTGAGTCGGGACGGTATCCACCCTTCACGGGAGAGTGCTGCTCTCATTTCATGTAGCATAGCTCATACTCTCTCAGATAGGCATCAGTGTAGGACAGTCAGTCGCTGACAAACCAGGGCCAAGGCCAGGCAGCAGACAAACAGGCTAAACCGACCATCTGCAAGCTGCCTTGAGACGCCACATAAGTTCCACCCAATTGAGACTGTGTCTGTTCTCCGAATAAAACAAAGCATCAAAAATCCTCAGAAAGTTTGCTCTATTTGATTAACATCAGACCAAGTATACCAGTTTGCAGTGACAGCACCTTTGGTCTAAAACTAGGACTGCTTAACATAAGATCTGTTACATCTAAGGTCGTCATTGTAAATTAAAGTATTACCGGTCATGATTTAGATGCTCTGTGCCTCACAGAAACGTGGATTAGACCCAACGAATACTTTGGTCTAAATGAAGCCACCTCCACAGGCTACAGTTATGCGCATAGCCCTCGTTTAAGTGGCTGGGGTGGAGGTATAGCAACCATCCATACAAAAGCTTTAAGTGTGAGCCAGAAAGTAGGCTACAAATTCTCTTCTTTTGAAGTTCTTTTTTTTAATATAAGTGGTCGAGTAACCGATAAGAATTCCTTTTCACTACTTACAATCTATAGGCCACCAGGGCCATATTCTCAGTTCTTACAGGAATTCTTTGACTTACTATCAAGTTTAATAACGTTTTCAAATAAAGTAATAATTGTTGGAGATTTTAATATCCACTTTGATAAACCACAAGATCCACTAAGTAAGGCTTTTATATCTATTATAGATTCTGTAGGTTTCACTCAAAATATAAAGGGGCCCACTCATTATTGCAGCCACACTTTAGACTTAATTCTGACCTTTGGTGTAAACATAGATCACTTAGCCATTCTCCCCCAGAGCACAGCAGTCTCAGATCATTACCTAATCTCATATGAAAATCGCTTTAGTAGTAATGTACATTCATCACCATGCTATCATATTAAGCGGACTATAACTTCCTCCACAGCTGGTTGCTTTATCAGAAACCTCACACAATTATCAGCTTCTATCAGCTGTCCGTCTAATCCTACCAAATTAGATATTATGATCAAGTGCTTAGAGGATACTTTTCTTCCTACTCTAGATAATGTGACTACATTAAAAAGTAAAATAATAAGGCAGAAAAAGCTTGCCCCATAGTACAATGATCATAGTCGAGCTTTAAAACAGACTGTCAGGACAAACTAGAGCGAAACTAGCGCAAAAATGACGCCTGACTAAACCAGAAGTATTCCGGTCTGCCTGTAGGGAGAGCCTTATAGACTATAGAAGACCATTACTGCAGCACATTCAACGTTCAAGTTTAGCAATGAAATGCAAAAATGAAAGAGAAAAGCTAAGAGTTTGTCACTACACTCACAACGCTTCCTTTGTTTTATCAGTTAGTATAGCTAGCTCCAGTGTTGGGATAATTACTCAAAAAATGTAATCCATTCAAGTTACTAATTACTTTCCTCAAAATGTAATAGGATTATGTTCCTTATTACTTCCTGGAAAATGTAATCTCATTACTCATTATTTTACTTTTATCTTACTCTGAACCGAATTATCTCACTATGTTGGCTGATAATTTTACCTGTTTCACGCATTATTTCTCAAAACAAACAAAATGATCTGCCAAAGTCAGATAATACTCAAGTTAAACATGCCTAGAAATATGTCAGATCTCATAATACTACTACAACAGTCTCATGTTGTGAAAGATATAACAACTACATTGAAGATGAGTTCACTTTTATTTTTATTATTTTTGCAATGCATCCAGTTGCATCACTCATTAAAAAATGAACATCCAAGAGGTCCTATTTCTGTCTTTTGCCTAGTGCCCCAGAACCATTAAATCCGGCCCATCCTTTAAAGTCTGGTCCGTGTAGAGCTGTGTTGTCATCATCTTCCATTATAGCAATATTATCAATCCACTAGTCATGACATTCTCAGAGACTTATGTAATTATGCAAACTGTTCAATTAAAAGGAAAGAAAATATTTGGCATATTATTTAGCATAACATTACTGCATACATTATGTACACACTCCTTAAAATTGCTGCCTCACCATCTCCACTTTAAATCACCTTACCATGTCCCTACTTACACATCATTGTGCCAAGTGCATGTTACCAGTCTTTGAATACTTTTATTCCTTATAACCAAGATGTCCCATTTTTTGCAGGGCCAAAAGAACAAAACAACTTCAATGATTACAGGTATGACTTCATTCTGCATTTACTAATTGCTTTGCTTAATTTTTGTCTTACTCGATCCTCTTCAAAAAGACAAATAAACAAACAAACATGTACTATGAGTGACCGATGAAAGACTAATGTTCCAAACTGTAGAAAATGTTCTGTCAGGCATAAGGCCCATACAAGTTAAAGGCAAACGCCAGTGTTTATCAAACTAATCTCTGTCTGCTGCATATGTAGCATACAGCCAATTAGAACGAACAGTGATTCTGATATGTTTCTCTGTACTTAGTATAAAAAGACACAAAACCTGTTAGCTCAAAAATGTTTTTTCTGTTTTTTTTTCCTAAGTACAGGAAAATGTTGGGAATCACATACTACAAACGTGGCATATAGAGATTACATTGAAAAAAACGCAGGCATATTCCATTAATGACTCAGAGCACTGCAGGAACACTTACTGATCTTGAGTTTGCTACTGGAGCTTTTTAAACCCAACAGGCTGTGTTGTCTTTGCATTTGAATGGGGTAAGCAATAATCACTTGTGTTGTCTTATATATGTATATATATATATATATATATATATATATATATATATGTATATATATATGTATATACATACATATATATATATGTATATACATATATATATATATATGTATATATATATATATATATATATATATTTGTGTGTATGTCTGCATTGGGTGTGTGCGTGTGCACTCTGCATGCTTTAGGCCCCTTCATCGTCGAAAGAGGCCAAGAGTGAAGAAACCTTCCTCAAAATCAATGTGAGTTTGTCATAAAACCCATCTGTTCCATATAATTCAGCCAGCTACCGACTTCTCTTCCTGAGTGGGATGCCTCTGTGTGTCATATGGCCTACCTGCATGCTGTTTGTCTCTGTGGGAGCACCTGCTATTTGGCATTTTAATGACCTCCTTTTTGATGGTTGTGTATAAAATACTCTTTTATAGATGCAGGAGAATGCTTAATTTTCTTTCAGCTCTGTTACTAGCGTATTGGGTGGTGTGGAGTGACCTATTGATATATTTCTTCACTTTGGCCTTTTGTGTGTTTACTTTTCTACATTTTTCATTCATTACATATAACAGCTACATAGGCTAAGTTAGAAATTTAAGGAGACCTTATTTTAAGACAAGTCACAAGAATTTTATCGATTGTTTTTATTTTACTTTCATACTTCCAGGGGACAGATCTGGGAAGGCTGGCTGGGCTAAATTTGGCCTTAGCCCATTAAGGAGAAACAGAAGCAAAGGACACGAAGACCCGGGCATCCCTTGCAAATAGAAAACGCTTTAATCTATTTCAACAAAATGTGGAATATGTGGAAGCTATCTCACAGTGGCAGTGCTCTCTCTCTCTCTCTCTCTCTCTCTCTCTCTCTCTCTCTTTCTTTCTTTCTTGCTTTCTTTCTTTCTTTCACTCTCTGGCAGCCTACTTACTGATTGTGTCTGTCTGTTCCCATAGCAATTACAATACTTTTCTATCATCTGTGAAAAAGATTATTATAAACTTTGAACTTTAAGTACTTTTGGACACTCAAAAATGGTCAAATTTTCTTGTATCGCCTTTGGAGAAGAATAATCAAGAACCATTTTCTATTAATTGTCACATTTCTGCCTGTGACAGAAGTGTGTGCTGGATCCCAACAGACATCTTCAGCCTGGCCTACCACTCAACTCTTTATCATCATGACTTACTGGCTTTCCATCATCCACAAGCCTGAAAGCCACATCTCACAGCCGTTGCTTCTCAATGAGTTGGTGCTATACAGACACATTTATTTCTCATCATCCTTGATGCTGTTGCAGTTACCACGGGATGGTGCTATGAATGTTCTCACAGACTTTTTATGAAACGATTATGATAATGATTGCGCCTCTGCTCTGTCCAAAGGTTTATAGACACCTGCTCATCAAACATTTGTTTGGAAATCAATGGTACTAATAGAGAATTTTTCCTCCCTTTGCTGTGATAACAGTCTCTGGTCTTCTGGCAGTGCTTTACATTAGATGTTGGAACATTAGTGTGAGGGTTTCAATGCACTCAGCCACAAGAGCAGTACTGAGGTCAGGTACTGAGGATCATTAGTTCTGAATTACAAATTGCACTTCAACTCATCCCAAAGGTATCTGATGGTGCTCTCTCACTCCAAAGAACACTTTCACTACTCATCAGTCTAATGCTTGGGAGCATTGTACCCCAGAATGAATGTTTTGCATTGGGTTTGGTGACCTCAGGGCCATGTGCAGTGGCTCCCAAGTATTTGAAAGCCTGTGTCAGCAATGGGGTGCACCTTAAAGTAGCTGAATACACTAATTAGAAGGGGTGTCTACAAATCTTTGGACATAAAGTGTATGAGTACTGAAAATGAATTAATTCTCTCTGAGCTGCTTGGTCCATAGAGCTGACTTCATATTACACACCTCATTCTGTTCAATTGTATATGACCTTCTAACTATGTGTTTCTGCTTATTGATTTTTTGTGAATTGTGCTACTGTAATAACTGGGTCTAATGATGAGTAGTACATATTTAAATTAATGTGCAATTAATGTAAATTTTTAAGTTCTTTAACTTGTTTTCTAACAGAAGTTTACATTCATTTTAAGGCACAAGTAACACAAGCCTACTAAACTGTTCGCTTATATGTCAATATAAAATGACTAAAATGTTGTTCTCCCATTAACTGACCATGAACAATTTTTACCTTTTGTGTTATTTTATGTGAATCGCTGACAGTTGAGTGTATGAGTGTTTGGTGGTTTGTGAATAAAGTGCACTGTCCGCTCAGTTTTCCTTTACAACATTGAATGCTTTGTATGTGAAATGAGGAGGACATGAGCGAACTCAGGTGATGCCATAGGTGCTGTTTTAGTTTGTATTGTATTGTGTAGAAAAATAGTCAGGTGAAGCCATACTTCTGCTCAAAAATCACTCTTTTTATTTAATTTGATCAAGCAGAAAAGCCATTTATTTGCAGAGAAAACAGCAGCAAGGTCACTATAAGTACTAACCGTCCTGCTGACGATGACCAACCCAACTAACCCCGCAGGCAGGCACACAACTCACAATTAATCAAACAACACCTCTACAAACAACAACATAAACCACAACAATAACAGTCACTCCCATGAGCCTTTCAGCAAGGCCACGCTTGTGAGCTTCTGAGAGACAACACGCCTTGTGGCAGACCACGATACTTTCCAAAATTATAATGTTCGTGACAAGTTACAGCTCAACAATTTCTTCTCAAAAGTTTATTGCAAACTATATGGAACACATAAAATTATGAGAAAGTAGTGTCATTGTATGAACAGTTTATCGCTTGAATTTTGAGATGACAGGGCAGGGTGGTGAGGAGTAGCGCATGCCCAACTGGTTGCCTCATGAGCCAAAGTTGCCAGGTGTGCTTTTCCAGCCACATTGGGCTACTGTGAAAATGCAGTCATGGGTGAGGTCAGTTGTTATTGTTAGAGTTTTTCTTCTTCTTCTTCTTCTTCTACTTCTTCTTCTTCTTCTTCTTCTTCTTCTGGGATAAAACAAATTGCCCAGACCAAACCGTAAGTCCTAGAGACATGAAACTTGGTCAATAGGTAGTAGTCCCTCCCGCTACTCAGGCGCGCGACAAAGGTGGCGCTATTGCGCAACACAACACGTTTGGCCCTTTAACTCCTTCCCCGGATTTTTGACAGACAAGACACATTTTTTTCCTGATTCCTTGGGTCCAACAAAACAACTTTGTAATTTGGACCATTAAGCGCCGTCTACTTAGATTTTGAGCTAATTTGCATAATATGCCAAAACTACTTTTGCGAACTAGTCCTACAGTTTTCATCCGATCCTCATGTTTTTGGTGTCAAAAAATTCAGCATAGTCTGAACCTCAATAATTATCCAGCACATTTTTAATTTTATAAACAATATGGCTGCCATATGCAAATTAATCCTTCTGGAAAAATCTAAATAATTCTTATTTAATTGAGAAATCTGTAACTCGAGAATCCTTCACCCAAAAAAATTTAAACTTGACAGGCTTATTCCTAATGAGACTCTGAGGATGCCTATCATTTTTTGTGCGCAAATGATCATTAGGGGGCGCTGTGAATACTACATAGCTGTTTCTCAATATTTAAATTTATGGCCGCCATCGGCCAATAAGCTTTCAGCAGACATTTGACAGGCTTACCATTGGCCAATCCTCATGATACTTGACAGCTGTCTCTATCTCACCACCTTCTAACAACCTGTGAAGTTTTAAAATATTTGGCTTCTGGGGGGTGCTATTACTGAAAATCAAGTATATCTTGTACAGATTTTCGTTTTTGGTCAAATAACTTAGATGCCCTCATGCAGTACAGAGTTCCAAACAATTTTGTCATTATAAGTCTATTAAAAAAGTGCTTAGTTTTCTTTCAGTCTAACTATTTTAAAATAGCACTTTTCAAACTAGTCCATGGAATTTTAAGCTAACTTCTCAAAACTGGTCTAGAAATACTCTGTAGCCTCTCTAGGTAAATAATTATCCAGCATTTTTTCAATTTTTTGCTCATTGTGGTCTCCCTCCATCACTGAATCATTGCGGCCATAGCATTGCTAGCTTTAATTGCTATAGCTCATCAGTCATTGGTCCGATCATCAAAATTGTAAAGATATCTATAAATTGAGACTCTGATGTGGCTTGCAAAATTTGATCCTGATTGGCCAATAGGGGGTGCTTTAGCACTCAAAAACTCAAACTCTAAAATCTTTAAATATGTTGTTACAACAATACTACAAAGTCTACAGATAAATAAGAGGTGTCTTTTGATTCAGTTCACTGATCTGAATAACTTTGTATTTACACGTTCTTTCATAAATTGTACTCCTCTGGTATTTTGAATTATTCATTTAAAGACTACAACTTATTATGCCAAGGTCAAAAGGTCAGTCTGAATAAAACTTGGTGAACATCTTTGAGGGAGGTCCCTGATCAATTTTCATAATATGTGGAGAGCTTTGAACCAATTCTGACCCACTTTCACTGAGGTCCTTTTTGCTAAAAGGGCCCTTCTGAGTACATTGAATCTGTTTATGTCATGCTTATCAAAGCCTTTAAAATGGAGAAACAAAATACTTCGCAAATGCAACAAAGACACAAAGTTTACCATTACTCGTATTTCTTCAAACCTTTGTAGATCAGTAAATTATTAGGTTTATATATTAGGTTTAAAACTCATTGTTCATGACAAATGAAGGCCTTTTGATTAACTCAGACTTCTTTTCAGCCTCTCTGCCTCGAAGGTCCAAACTGCATTAGGCCTTATTAGGCCTATTTGGCTCAAAGTGCATGAGAGCTTCTTGGGCTTATTCGTGCTTGGAGCCAAAAAATTTCAAACTACATAGGGCATGTCAGTAGCCCATTCTGAGGTAGCCATTCGATTTTTGTGCGCATAAGTAATTAGGGGGCGGAGCAACAAAAACAGGGCTTTTTCTCTGCCTCTGAACATCCTATCAAGCTCAAACTTTGCATGCAGCATCCTCTCGCCAGTCTACAAGTGTGCATTGAAGAACGTTTGGATACATCGAAATTTGTGGTCGCCATCGGCCAATAAGCATTCAGCAGGCCTTTTGACAGGCTTTACATTGACCAATCATGACGAAACTTGACTGGTGTCTATATATAGCCACTTTCTAACAACCAGTCGAGTTTCAAAAGATTTGACCACTGGGGGGCGCTATTTCAAAAAATTACATATTATTACATGTTATTACAATATTATTACAATTTTCGCCTTCAGCCTATTGTATTACCATGTGACAAACAATTTTGCCAATACATGTTTATTACAAATCTGTATCGTTTTTTTGTAATAGATAAATGTTTCAAAACCCTACTTTTTGAACTAGTCTCTGGATTTTGATCCAATCTTTTCAAAATTGGTCTAGAACAATTCTTTGGCATCTCTAGGTACATAATTATCAAAAACATTTGGACTTTTCTACTCAGGATCATGTGGATTAATCACTACATTCCTGCATACGTGGCATTGTTAGCTTGATTAGCTATAACTCATCAGTTATTGGTCAGATCATGTTCAAACTTTGCGGACTTGTAGATATTGAGATTCTAATGGAGCACACCAAGTTTGGTCCAGATTGGCCTTCGGGGGTGCTTCAGCACTCAAAAACACTGAAAAATCAATAAAAATGCTATTACAATGTTATTACAAGGTCCAGATATAAACAATTGGTGCCATGTGACTCAGTCCACTAAGATGAACAACTTTCTAATTACATGTTATGTCAAAAATTACACTGCTTGTTTTTTATTTTAACTTATTCATTCAAAGATTGCACTATACAAAGACTTACTATACAAAG